GGTTTAGATATTTTATCCATAATATTTTAGCCTTTAATGTTGTAGTGGTAATTTTTTTGTTAATGACTTCCCAGAATATAATATTACTATAAGTGGTAGAAGTGAGTCAAAGAAAGCAAATCAAAAATACCTGTGATTAATTATTCGTTCAGAACAGTTATTTTGTGCGTAATCTACATGTCATCCCCCAATCGACGCGTGAATCACAACCCCTTCATGTTGACCTTAGCTATAAGCTCATTTCTCGCTTCAGTTCTTCCAGCTAACCAAACAATTGTATTCAGCCCTGCCTAGTCAAGGGACAATCATTTTCGCATTAATTAATTACTAAAATATCCGTTGCTAAGAATAGGCCTTTTTTTTTTTTTTCGTTTCTCGTATAGTTTGCAAAATTATGTATATTCCAAAGTACATCCCTATAAAAACACCTGTAGATTAATAAACATTTAATAACTACTATATTTGATTTTGAATGATATTTAAAAGTAACAATTGAAGATAACAGACACTTTTATCATAGAAAAAAATGTAATTGTTTAGTTTTTAATTACGTATTTACATTTTTTTATTATAAAGTGGCCGGGATGGTCGACCGGGCTTAAAAACTTGCAACAGGTAATCAAACTTTCGCAACGACCGTCTGTGTGTGAATCCCAAGCCCCGTCAGACTACTGGAGGCAACTCCTACCAATCAGGCATACGAGTGATGACTATATCTCGCATAGATTAATCGGAAATCGCGATGTGATTTTGCGGAACGTAAAGAAAATCTACTTAATATTACTTATAAATGCAAATAAAGGTCACTAACTGCTAAAACGAAGTAGTTCCAAAAAACAACAACATTAGGACATCACTAGCAAATCCAAAATTTAATATTTTTTTTAGAAAAGGAAAAACTAACTCAGCAAAACTAAATGATAACGAGTTTTATTGAGGATATGGATTAAAATATCTCAGAAACTAAAAATCGGATCTGCATATATGGGAAAGGAGGAGGTATTCTTGTCTATCAAGAAGGCTTAGTTCACGGAGAGGTTTAATTTCACGACATAGTTGGATCTAAGTCGACATGCTGACTTAAGTAACTTGCCTTTCGGAATCAATTGATTTTCTGCTTGAAATTGGAATAGTTAAGATTCTTATGCTGAATATAGAGAATTTAACAGAAGTTGTCAATAAATCCACATAATAGGAAACTTCAACTCTCTCCCTCTCTCTTATGTTTGAAGGTACTTCCCTCGGGTTTGTAGTATGGGGTCTATATATATACAATCCTGATAATTTAACATCGTGTATTTCATCATGCAAGTTGATTATTTTAACATACATTAATTGATTTTGATTAAGGATTTTTCATAATAACTTTGGGATCAGGATTTGAAAAAACATCAATGAGTCGAAGGTATAAAATTAAATAATCAACTAATGCTTTATTATGGTGAACGACTTAAAAACATGGGATTCTTCCAAAGCTAATTAATATCAAGAAGAGAAGCATAAGATGACAAAATAAGTAGCGACCAGATTAAGAATAAAGGTTTAAGCATTTTGAAAGGTTCCTATTAATCCTGATCAGAAACCAATTAAGCGGTAAGTGGACTACGTGGTCATTAATTAATCTAAAAATGTCCGAATTAAAGATTGCGGAAACGACCTAAAATTCGACTTATTTAAAAACATTAGTGAAATTTTTGGTCTTGACAAGATATTTTAAATATCTCAAGTTTCTTGATACATTTTTTTGGATTTCCTTAAAAATGTTGACATTTTCGACAACTAATTTTCTTGATCAGCCACTGATGGTCAGCAAAATGATTAATAATCTGATTACTAACACAATGAAAAGTCTGTCTTATTCAGAAAGTCGTTAATATTTATTTTAACTTGTCCTTGAGGCAATATAAGAAGAAAGAAGTACTTGTACATATTCAATAAGAAGCAGCCATCATTGCAAGGTGAATAGAAGAAGAAGGCACCCAGTTAGGTCAAGTTGAAATAAAACGGCCTTGACCAATAAAAGTCAACAAGTACGAATAGACTTCAATTATAGGAGAGAATTGAAAAACAATTGAAGAATCAGCAAATCTGAATCAATTCTTTAACTTCATAAAGAACTTCGATATAAAACTCTAAGCGAAAGACCTAAGTAAATGGTTTTCGAAACTGGGAGTACAAATGATGACTTGATGGCTAGCGCAAGTTGCATGGAAGAGGAAGGGAGTAGGAAAAATTAATACGCATTAGGGCGACTACTTCAAATTCATCGGGTAGTACTTCATGTTTGAACCGCAGGGACACTTCAGTCTAATGCTTGGTCTCGTAAAGCACTATGCTCCATCATAACCAGCAGTTTAACGTTCCGCTGATCGTAGTAATTCTGCAACTAAGAAAAAAATAGTAAAATTTTACAACCAAGAAAGGCTTTTTTTTATATATATATTTAGTTTTAGAAACACGCTTAGCTTTTCCAATGCCTAATATAGCAAAAAAAAAAAAAAAAAGTCATTGGACTTGATATATTCGAAATATTTATAGCTTATTCTTAGCATGTGCACAAAAAGAAATATGTTGCTGATAGTGTAAATATTAGAAATGGTTATATTGAAGACCGTCTTAAAAATCGATTAGATCCGTTTCCAATTATCCGTTCAAACACAAGTATCAATGAATATTTGATCAGCAAGGCTATGAATAAATAATATTTAGTTGACAGGAAGTTGGTTAGAGTAGCGACTAGCAAGCAAGCTTCTCACCTTTGCAAAGCCCAATACTTTTCTGTCATGAAAAAGGATTGAATCAATTTTTTTTATAGCACTTAATCCTCTTTTTCACATATCTCTAATTGTTCTAATTAACTTACATTTCTCTTAAAATGCCCAAGTCAAGCTAAAATGTTCATATTCATATTTTATAATTAATTCTTTTAATCTTCCAAAAATACCTAGGACTCCATCTGGACAAACGTCTAACTTGGAATCCTCATACCAGACTGAAACGACAAAAAACAGCTCGACGTTTCCGATTACTTCAACACTTACTAGACAAACGATCTAACCTTCCAATTAATTACAAAAGACTCATTTACATGATTATAATAAGACCTATTTGGACTTACGGAGTTGAGCTAAGGGGCTCCACCAAACCTTCAAATTGCTCTCGTATCCAATCCTTACAATCCTAAATCCTTCGTAAAATCCTCAATGCTCCTTACTTTGTTGCAAATATAATCATCCACAATGACCTTAATGTTCCTTGTGTATCAGATTTGGCCCAATCCAGATATCTATCGTTCCATAATGAACTTCATAACCATCCCAACCCTCTTGTTTCTAATCTTTCTTTCTATTCAATTCCTGATAACCCTCCGAGGCGTCTGAAAAGGAGATGGCCACGTGATCTCCTAATATAGACATATTATTAGAGTGCTACTAATGGGTAGTTTCTCAACATGTGTTTCATGTCATTATATTCATGTGCGAATTTACTAGATGTATTTTTATTTTATACAATTGTAAATATCATATAAATAAATAAAATTAAAAAAAAAACTTCCAAACCAGAATTCAATGGTTCATCAAGATCCAATTCATTGAATCTAGGATAAATGCTTTAAAAATGCAATGGGAAACCTATGGACTTTTTTAATAATTAAACAAATTGAAAACCGAATCAATTAAAGTTATAAAGCATGAGAACTGTTGGAGTATTCGAATTTTTTTTTTCTTTACCCACGACCTCGCCGTTTCTGACATAAGAGTGGAGGAAAAGTTGTTCTAGAGGTAAAATTAAATCTATTTTAACCATAGAAGGTCCAGATTCATTTCATAAGTACGTCATGAAATAAATTTCAACCCGCCAGGGCCAGATTCGAACCGACGCTACTAGACTCTAGAATATTAAAACGGTAAATGCTTTAACACGCTCGACCAATGGCATTCGAAATAAGAAAGGTTAAATTCTGATACTCCTATCCTCCCCCTCGCCGTGAAAAAACTATAGAATGTACAAAAAAGTCCCTTCTAAAACGATCTACCTTGAGGAGATACTCCCACACCAGTGTATAAGGGAAGGGGACCATCTCATACTACCATTTCTCAAGATGTATGGAAACTTTCTCACCGCCTTTGATTCTTAAAGGGCTAAGTTGCTGAGGGAGACTAAACTCCACGTCCTCTCAGAGAACGATATCCCTCAGCTGGGTATCCATACAACAAAGATTTTATGTATGGCTGTAAACTGTCTTTCCGATCTGCATCATTCTCAGAAGAACACACCCCTGAATGGCCACCACGCTGAGTAAGCGTAGAAGCAGACGAAATCTGGTCTAAAAATATGAAGATACGTGTGGGTGTAGCAATTCAACGGAGAAGTACTTACGAACGTGTTTGGAACTCTGTTTCAGAAGCTTAGATAAATTAACAAACAGAAGAATTAAGTTTAGCTAATTATCTTGTGATGTTGTACGCTTACTAACTTCGTACTATTATCTTTTTCTTTGGCCTGCTGTATAGTTATTTTAATTTTATCTAATATTGTCGTCTTATTTATTTTTTACTTTTTTTAAGAATCATGAAAAAATCCATCAATCTCTCCTATTTTACTTCGCATTTTTTTTCTGAACCTTGGATAAACCAAATCACTCCGTCTTAGCTAATCATCTTCTCTTGTATCTTCCCTGTCAAATGGACCGCATAGAATATCAAGCTTGATTCTGTGCCATTAAACACCGACCTCATCTATCACATTAGGTTGGAGAATGAAGGTCGTGGCTCTTAAGTTGCAACGATTATTGGGTTTTGGGGGATGACCTTCTATCATCATTTGAAACTCATATAAGTCAGATTTTTGTGTAATTCTAAATGTTCACTTATGATTACAATATAGTAATTCTGAATCAAGAAAAAAAAGTATCAAAATTCGAAAACGAGGTTCTGGTCCTCGATATGTTTGAATTTCGAACTACTACTCAGTAATGCAACTTGTGATCCTGGACTCACCAGTGACGGAGACACTCATGATGTTCCTTCGGGTGTTGGATGGCCAGCGGCCGTCGTCGGGAGTCCTGAGCGCGGGGCTGCGCACACTGACGGACCGGGCGAGTGGGGTACGCGGGGGCCTGCCCCGTCTGCCTGAGGCCGCCGAGGACTCGCTGCTCGTCCCGTCTCCCAGCTCTCGCTCCGACGTCAGGCTAGAGTCCGGCGTCGGCTCCATCCCGCTGTCGCTCCCTCCCACCTCCATCCCTCACCACCGCCGCGCTGTCATCGCTGCAACAGAAAAATTAATGATATTAATACAAACATATAACATACTTACATTATAAAATAACAAAGTATTTCTATTCAAAATATGTGTCACTAACTACACATTCGAAACCACTGGAATATTGATGAGTTTCTTATATACTAGCCTTTTATGTTGGATATAAACTAAACGTTGGTAAAAATTAACTTAAGAGCACCTAAAGTATTAGAAGGTAACTCAAGCCAGACGTAAGTCCATTCGTTGAGAATAGCCTACCTTTCACATTATCAATGCCTACCGTATTTTACAGTCGTTATATCTTTTAAAGTTATTTATACTAGAGAATTTTTACACTATTCCTTTAACTCAGGGTAAAATAGAACGAGCCGTTTTCAAACTTCATGTGTATAAAAAACAATACGTTTTCAGATTCGAAAGCGGAAATATTTTCTAAAAGTAGTGGATGGTATTGACTGAAATTGACATCTTTTTGATCGTTTGTTTATCATTCTCTAAGTTCCCTCCGACTTTGAGCAAATCGAACGTGCGGTTTCAAGATATAGACGTATCATGGAAAATACGTTTGGGCAAATTCAAGAGAAATCAGTAGACAGAATTCAATAAAATCGATACAGAATCATTATATTATCAAAACCCACTATTCTTTCAACTTTGAGCCAAATTGAACGAGCCGTTTCTCAAATGTTGGCAGATTTTAGAAAATACATTTACGCGTGCACAAGCAGAAGTGCTGGAGGGAATTTAATAAAATTGATACACCATCTAGGCTCCTAGGGAAGCTATCACATTGACCTTTATAAAAATAATAAACTTCAATACACCTCACAATGATAGGGCTGTCAGGTGAGCAGAACATTAAAGGATGGAAAAAAAAAAAAGCTGTGAATAATATTGCAACAAATCTTTTAAAACTTAATCTTAACCCAGAACGGCGACTCAGGTATACTATGCCGCAGAACAAACAGCTCCAGATTCAAATTACATCTAATTTAACTTGTTATTAGTAGTTGTTAGTAACACTTCAGACGTGGTTGTATCAAAACCCTGTTAGAGAAAAAAAACAAAAAGATTCCTAAGACGGAAAACTACTATTGTTTAATTGTTTATTTGCTGTTGTTTTCATTAGCTACGATCGTTCTTCTTTAACATAAAACAGCAATGATCTTTGTCACCTAGTTTGACTATTATTTTTAGTATTTATTTTTTCTTTCTCTTCTCCTCAGGTTGTGCTTTTTCTTTCGGGTATATATGTTTATATTTTTGTCTTTCGGTGTGCCAATATGAGCATGTACGTATAAATAGTTCCTTTTATTTTATTTTTTCCATTACACCACAAGTAATCCTAAGATTTTATTTTATCTTAGTGTCTGCATATTATTATATAAATCACTGTAGATATTATTACATTTTGTATTAAGTTAGTTTTCTATTAGATAGCCTATTGTTTATAAATTGTGAAGTTATGTGTAAATAAATATGTAATTTATCTTCTTTTTTTTTTTCATCACAATTCAGTAATTTTGAGAAGATTTTATGTTCTTTGGTATATATATTTTATTATTTATTTTTTACTGGTTACATACTTTTTAAATAATGTATATAATATTAAAATTTTTAGAAGTTAGTTTTTGGCCAGATTTGTACTTTACTTTGTATTAACTCATCATTGTTATTCTAAAGGGACTTAGTCCCAGAATAAAGTTTAACTTTCTAAAAAAAAAAAAAAAAAATATATATATATATATATATAATTCTTTAATTTGTTTGTTTGATGAACTTCAGAGTTTTTTTTTAAATTTTCCATTTGTTGAGAAATATCGATCCTAAAAAAATTGAATCAAATTCAATTCGATTTTTATTATCAGAGTTAAGATAGAGATGCTATATTTTAAAAACTTTTTCCTTCTGGTAAAGATTTAATCCAATAAATTTTACAACCGTTATTTCAAAATTATACCACATTTCTGTCGATCATTTAACTCAATTTTCAAAATATATTTTTCTTTAAAAAAATAAAAAGTAATTCTAAAAGATACGTCATACCTCTCTACAGTAAAAAATATTTTTTTTGTGTCATCAAATGACAATAAGCTCCGTTCTTAACTGCTGTAAGGAATCATATGCAGTATATTAAGAAGTATGTTAATAACAAAAATAATAATTTTTTTCCATAACTGAAAGGAAGTTAGAGAACGAAATCTTTCGCTTCGTTTTGGTTCGATCTAATTTTCTTTAAAAAAAAAAGAAGATAAATTTATAATAAATAATAAAAAAAATATATATTTCTATATGTTTTGTGTGGTTTTGTTATCAATAAATCAAATAATCCATTTCCAATTACACAAATATTTAACAACCTGGTAGAGGTGCTATAGCTATTCCACCAGTAGTCTTCAATCACTGGAATAATCATTAAGAACTGCTGATTAAATGCAGCCCTCTTTGATTAAAGCGTCACAGATTTTTTTTTTCCTAGCGTCCAATCAGCAGTAAATTATGGTCTGAAAGTTTAATTCGATTTGGTAATTGACAGATGGAAATTAAATTTCCATTTTTTAGCTGTCGCGTAAAATTCTGTGATTAAGAGACCCTGAAATTGCAATACTTCTACCTACACTTTCTATATACCTTGTTAATTTATTATGTCTAGATTTTTTTATATATTTTCCTTCATATATATATATATTTAATTCCAATGACGGGTTGTACGGTATGCAGGTTTGTTTTCTATAACAATACCATAAAAGTTGGAGTAATTTTCGTTAAAATTACGGGATGTCCAAGGGGATTTTCGCATTTTTCAAAAGTTTAAAACACCTCTAAAGACCCTCAAAATAATTTTATAGGGTTGAAATTGAATTGATTTAGTGTTCCAGCAGTGTCTTTTAAATGCCTGATTTTTTTTTTTTTTTTTTTCCTCTCCCGCCATTTCAATAAATTAAATTATAAAATGTTCAACTACAAAATTTGAAAGAGGAATTCAGTACTTCAGTTGATTTAGAAATTCTATTAGATTTCACCAGGCAAGTATAACAAAAGCATTTTTTACATATTTTCCAAACAAAAATATTATATGAGGAGTTGGTCGAGGAGTGCGGTCAAAAAAATAGTATATGTTAAAATAGTATTTTATTGTTTTAACTTTTATTATGATATCTACAACTGTATTAGTATGAATACATCTAGTAAATTTGTACAGAGAAATATTATTACATGAAACACGCTTGTTGAGAAACTACCCACTGGTAGCACTCTAATAATTTGTCTACATGAGAAGATCACGAGGCCATCTTCTTTTCAGACGCCTCGGAGGGTTATCAGGAATCGAAGAGGAAGCAAGGTTAGAAACAAGAGGATTCGGATGGTTATGAAGTTTATTATGGAAGGATAGGTATCTGGATTTGGCCAAATCGGAAACATATGGAACATTGAGGTCTTTTATGGATTATTTTATTAGTGACAAAGTTATTGTAACATAGGAATACTAAAATACTATAAAATAAATATATAGGGTATATAAATATATATAGATTGTTATCACCCTACTCTAAATCAACTGAAGTACTGAATTCCTCTCTCAAAGTTTGTTGTTGAACATTTTATAATTTCGTACCGAATTCAATTTATCTAAGAAGAGGGAGAGAAAAAAAAATACATAAGAATAAGCGACTTATTTTATAAAAAATTGACAGCTAGAATCATCATCACGGTACCTAATATTAGACGAAGAAGACACACAACGCATCCATGTTCACAAAATCCCTTCCCGCAAACTCACGAGGATATTACGGCTTAAGAGGACCTAATGATGCGGCAGAGTGGGACATTACACTTGGAAAGTAACACAAACACTAGGGTCGCTTGCACAACCTTTATATAACTTGCGGTGATTGTGTGGTCCTCTCGTTTCCATATCGGCAATAGAAAGTCCAACGGTACCGTCACGAAGAGCTGAAGAGGTCTCTCGAAGGACGTAAAACCGAGAGGTCTTTGGAATGCTTAAGGTAATGAAATTTAATATTTGAGGAGTGATGCAAATTTTTCAGGAGATATCTTCCCAAACAGGTCACATAAATACATCATGTTTATAAATAAGAAATTATCCATGAAATTGCTTTTAATTTAATTATTAAAAATTTAGCAAAGGATGTTAAATACTGGTACGTTTTAAACCCATACTAGTTAGGCAAATAAAATACTATCAATAAAATTTAATCAATCCGATTGAAGGTATGAACGTTTTAGTACTTCTTTTCTATGTTATCAGGGAAAATACTGGAAATACTGAGGTATTTGGGAAAAGATTTAAGCTACAGATATCTTTTTTACTTTAGGCACCGCCAGTTATTTTTAAACGGTAAAAGTATCTGTTATAAATAAGTATCAGTTATATATGAATCAATGTTGTTATTCTTCTTCTAGTTGACCCATGGGAATAATTCGCGGAAAAACTGTCTAGTGAAGAAATAGCAAAACAATATGGCTATAAGTAGATTCTATGTATCGTGTGAGGGAGGAATTAATTGTTTTTCCTTTAGAAAATAATAGACAAAAATATTTGTTCAAATTGCTTTGCTAGAGCCTATCTTGAAACGCTGACTGGAAAGACAATATAAAGCCTCGATGATGGGATTTTCTAAATAATTAAAAAATATAAAATTTAAGAACGAACAAATGCCTTTAAGAAATAATAAAGTTAATAGATCAGCCAGGAAAAAAAGTGTAGCAGAATAGTAAATGCAATATCTTTAAAGAGGAAGAAAGTTAAGTATACCAAAATTAACAGACTAATTAATTATTGTAAATAATTGTCAGATTTTAACGATTTCTATTTGTTTTTGTTTTGTAGGTAATTTAGTAATGTTTCTAATAATCATGGGTACAATAGGAAAAATGCATACATTTTGAGTTATTCGAAAATAACGTTTCTTTTCCTTCATAACTTTTTTTCCAGAAATTTTGGGGGATGATTTTTC